GTGTGTGTGTGTGTGTGTGTGTGTGTGTGTGTGTGTGTGTGTGTGTGTGTGTGCCGCACTACCAGCAACAGTTAAAACCGTCAGCAGCTCAGCACCTGCTGATGAGTAAACACAGCACCGTTACTGGGAGTTCACAAGAAAACTGCCGTTTGTTTAAACACACACATGGAGGCACGCTCACACTCAGACGAGCAGCCTATGCAGGAAAAGTAATGACGGGCTCACGGCAGCCCGTTACAGAGGAAAAATCTGCAGATTTGTGAGTGTGTGCGTTGTTTTTTCCTCACCTTGTCCCAGTGTGTGTGACTCCCCCTCCTCCACACCACTTGTCTCTGCTACGCTGTCATCCATGTGCATCCACCTCCTTCATAGCAGCACTCCTCATCTCATTCCTCTGCACCTGTGTGCGTGTTTGTGCGTGTATGAGCGCAGGTATACCGGAGGCAGACGTCCACCAGGCTGGCAGCGTTGGAGGAGGCGGCGGAGGGGAGAACGGCTTCTTACCAGAGGGAGATCCTTCACCTGCAGAGGCTGCTGAGGGAAAGACAGGAGGCTGAGGAGAAACTGCTGCAGTCCAAACGGTAGGAGGGGTGTGAGGAAGAGAGAGAGAGAGAGAGAGAGAGAGAGAGAGAGAGAGAGAGAGAGTAGGAAGGGAGAGTGAGGGAGGAGAGAGAGATGAGGCAGAAGGAGTGGAGAGGTAACGTGAATGAGAGAGGGAGATGGTGAGGTTTGTGTGATAAAAAGCAGAGGTGCCTGCAGATTGATCGGTCTAATATCTAATAGACACAACTTCAGTTGGCTCGTTAAAAAGTTGTTTTAAAGCCGAATTTTATAGTTGTTTTCTGTCCATTTTTTAAAATAATTTCTTACACACTAAAACTATTCACAGTTAACAAAACTTTGCACTCAAGTCACAAAACACCAGCACAGCTTAGCCTCAAACTGCAAGAGGCTAAACACATTTATCTACTTTAAACACAAAAACATCATGATCTCTCTAATTTATCATTTCAAAGCACTGGCTTTTTGACACTTATTAGCTAAATGGCCATCCACCAGGTGTGCAAACACACACAGGTTTAGGTTTGACATTGTACTGATGCAACATCTGTGCAGGGATGGATCAGACACAAAGTGTGTCCCGATACCAGTATTTCTAAAACTGAGTACAAGTACTTCAGTTTGGGTACTCAAAGACATTGAGTGCTTAATGTTTATAACCTAAACATTACAAATGACTTCAAAAACACATTTATTTTATTTAGAACAAGGTRGTTCTCCTTCCGTATAGGCATGCAGCCCCTCTGACAGGATCAAATCAAATATACAGCAGGGCTTCAAAATGTAATAAACCTGCATTTGTGTCATGTTTTTCCTTTTAATATTGTTTGTTTGCAAACAATGACATATTCTAGAATATCTTTACAGTTTATTCTTATTTTTTTCACCATTACATAAACACTGACCTGATATAGCACCATCCTAATCCCCATGGCTTCAGCAGGGATTGTGATTCTCCAGAAAACAATCTAACACTTCATCTTTCTTCCATTGTCAGTCTGTTTTTAGATTTGTCTCTTGGCTCGCTGCCTGCTGCTATCAAATGAAAGCAAGCTAATCAAATTCTTTAAAGAGTCCGTCCTGCTCTGCCTAGAAGGGCATCTTAATGACAAATGACACACATTACCTTACACATCATTGCCCAGCTGACTTCACTTGATCTCAGCAAGGTCATCTGTGCTTTTAACTCACCTTTTCTCAGTTTATTCTACATCTTTTGTGTTGAACTTTTAGCTTTGATCCTTTCACCTGGTACAAATGAAAGACCGGATGATGTTAGTTATGATAAAGCATCTCTGATCACAATCAGCTTTATAATCACCTTAAAAGCACTAAACTCTATGTGGTTCGTTTTTGAGAAGTTTTGCTACGTAGATTTCCTTCTAGATGTTCTTCTGCAGTAAATGCTCAGGCTCTGCTGGCTGCTCTTTTGTCCTCTCTTTTGTCCCTGTCCAACATTAATGTCTCCACAGTGTCCCCCTATGGAGTACAAAACAATTTAAATATATAAATGACCCAATAAATAAATAAAAACACATGGAAATAAAAAGACTTATGAGGAAGAACTATTTAAAAAAAATGAAGAGACACAAATTAATTTACAAGTAAAACGAAAAACAATGTATATAAATACGTACTGTATATATATATATATATA